CGGTCTATTATTTAGTAATCAAACAGGAGGAGGAGATAAGATTGTAAGTGTATTTAAAAATGCCACAAATTATATAACTTTACAAGGAAATAAAATTATATCAAATGCCACAAGCGATGACAGCATCGTGGATTTAAATTTAAATCCATCGGGCAATATCAATATGAATAATGACTTATCCGTTAATAATGTTAATATTACAACCAATTTAACATTAGGAGGTGAAATTGACTTAACAGGCAATTTGACAGTAAAGGGAGATATTGAATTAACAAACTCTAACACAAGCATAGAAAGATACAATAATGCTACTAAATCTAATATATCAATGGATTTATCAATAAATGAAACAACAAGTGCTAAAAGACTAATTAATGGAACTAATGACGATACTGACACAAACACATATATAGAATGCAATAACACAACGGGTGGAACAACATTATTTAAACCGACATATTTTAAGGATAATATCTTTTATGAAACTGATAATTTCAATATTTCCAATAATTCAGGACTAACAATTTACAAACCAACAACAGACGCCAGTAATGTTGTAGCAATTGCTAATAATAGTGGGAAATTAAGATTCAGAGGTTTTAGTATTGATGCTTATAATACCAATGACTCGTCGCAACAGTTATTTTTAAATATGAACAATTCAAACGCGGTAAGATGTAATAAATTAGGAATTGGAGCAAATGCCGTTGTAGATGTTCTTAATGTTAATGGTGGCAATTCTAATTTTAGTTCAACGGTAAGATTTAATGGTGCTACTACGTTTAACAATGAAATATTTATATGGAATAATAGCAAAATATACAGAAGAGCAGACGCTAATAATTCCTTAAACTTAATAACAAATGACGAGATAAATTTTTCATTTCAGGCAAACAGAGCAACTGACCCAACAACTTCAACCATAGCACTTCAATTAAATGACACTAACGGAATTACATTAAACAGGGCAGTAGTTAATAATCAAACCTTTAATTCTATTGGTAATATAACAGCGGAAGCAAATTTAAATGTATGGGGCGATATATTATTTCAACATTCTTCAGGCATTAAAGAAACATTAAATGGAAGCGATTATGATTTAGATATAAGAAATGGTGATACAGATAGAGCAATTAATTTTATCATAGGAACTATAGGAAGCACACCGGAACTTCAACTAACAGAAGGAAAAGTAAATTTATTAGGCAATTTGGAAATAACACACGATGATATAACAGGACAGCAAAGGGTTTTAATTAATAATCCAGATGACAACGGATGGATACGATTAAGTAATAATAATTTATCAACATTGGATGCAACAACAACTGGCGTTGATGTTTATGGCGACCTTTCATATACAGGGTCATTAATACCTTCATCGGATAAAAGATTAAAGAAAGATATAAAAGAAATAAACAGTAAAAAAGCAGTAGAATTAGTAAAATATATTAAACCGAAAACATATCATTTTATTGACAACAGACTACAAGGTAAATCGTGCTGTGGTTTTATTGCTAATGATTTTATGGAATACAAGAAAATGCCGGATGAATGGCAAAATTTAGTAAAAGAAGGAAACGATGGCTACTTGAAGTTTGACTACACGATTACGACACCGATTTTATGGAGTGCTTTACAGGCAACAATAAATAAAGTAGAAAAATTGAAAAAGGAAGTAAATAAGTTGAAGGGTAAAGGCAAAAGCGATAAAAGCGATAGTAATTAAATATAAGTTATAGTATAATATGGGTAGTAGAATATCAAAAGATAGTGAGAATGATTGTATTAATCAAATAAACAGTATTAACGAAAATGATTTAGATTTGAGTAATATTGATAGATTACAAATTAAAGTGTTGAAAGAAATGATAAAGGAACTAAAAGAAGTAAAAGAAAAGAAGAGTGATAAAATATTGTATCGCTTACCTGCTATAAACTTGTGCAGTTATTCACTATTTTAATTAATAATATTGTGAATAAATAATGTTATTAATCAATCACTAATTTGGCATCAAATCTTTTATAAAACATATCATTTACATCCGGTTTCATTAAGTTAATAAACAAGAAACTATACGGTTCTTCTGTTGCTATGTTATAGACTTCTAACAATAACTTCTTTGCTTCTGCAAGGTTTTTAGTATCTGCAACGGTGGATTTTTTAATCAATACCGCGCTTAACTCTTCAACCATTGTTTCTATTTCGCGATAGTTCCTTAATCTGAAAAAGAACAACTGCCTACTATTGACGCGAATAATAGGACTTAACGCATTATACTTTTGCGTGGCAGTTATTATGCAACAGGCATTATGTCTTCCTCTAACATACAACTGATTTAACAAAGGTGAGTTTCTTGAAAAAGCTTTACTGTCGGCGAAGTCATCTACTATAATAAGAATAGAAAACAGTTTTTTATGGTCGTTCTTCTTCTGGTATTCTATTACTTTATGTTGTCTTTTAATAACATTGTCTAATTCTTCCGGTATGTATTCATCAAATACGCATTTTTCTTTTTCTAAATCAACCTTCAGCTCGTCTTGAATGTATTTTTTAACCGGTGTCCAATTGCTATCAACTGAGATTGAAGGAGACCAAATATATATCCTTTCAAAGACGCCTCTGTAAATATCTAATATCATAGATTGTAGTAATATTCCTTTTCCTGAACCACTCGGACCTGTTATTATTTGCGAAAAAGGTAATTTAGGTGCTACTTCATATTTAGACTGTTTAAAGTCATATTCTTTAACATTCACTGGTTTTACAACTGGTATATCCGACATTATTATTAATACATAGAAAAATTATATCGTTATTAATATATGAGCGATTATGACGACTATTTAGAAGTTATAGACGAGATAGAGAAGATAGAACAAATAATAACACCTCCTAAATACCGTAGATGTTGTTATAGTATATTAGAGGTGCTGAAAGCAGTTATTCAACACTTTAAATTAAAATCTAATTGATGTAAATGGATGATAAGAATGAAAAAGATGGTGGATTTTCATTAACACCTACCAGTCTTGATTGTCTCCCTTGTAGATGTAGAAAACATTTGTATCATAAAGAAACAAAGCATACCAAAGCTGAAAACAAAGAAGTTATAACAATTGTTGAAGACAGGTCATCCTTTTCAATGGGAAAACGCAGGGGAATTACTCCGTCAGATGAAATCTTCAAAAACACAAACGACAACACGCAATTGGGGGACATATCTATATGCGATACAGGTTTTGGAAGAACAGGAAAACAAATTACGCCAGAAGAGACAGAAGAGCAGTTAGAAGAATTAAGAGAAGATATGAGAGGGGTTAAAAAAGATATTAACATGTTGAAAACTAATCTAAATATGATGGATTGATATTTAAAAATAAAAGTGTATTTAATGATGACAGGGCGAGTATGCCGTTTGGAAGATAGACCCCAGCTCCTTTCGTTTCACATTGGATGGTCGCATGAAAGGGAAGTAATGCTGGAACATTCAATAGCATCTCATAAGCAGGTGCTTAATTAGTTTCGTTAAAGCATTAAGGAATTGGCTTTATAATTTTATTATAAAATCAATTAAATATATGGTCAGATATGTAGATGAAATCATTGTATCGTTTTATGTTTATGATAAATGCCATTGTGAATGTAATTTAGATGACATACGGTATTGCCCGAGTTGTAAGATATGTAGAAATCATCAATGCTTCAAGAGTAGCAACAAAAACATAGAATACAATAAATTATGTAGGAGATGTTTAGACAATATGAATACATACAAAGTAGCATATGGTAAAATGTAGTCTTTAACTACATATTTAAACGCGCTTTAGATTAAAACTTTTTAAAAAAAGTTTTAATCTAAAACTTTTATATAGCATGAGCGATGTAGATGATGACGCATCGGCAGATGCCTCGCGAGGCATTTGCGACCTTAAAGAAACAAAAGCAACGCGATTTCAAAAGATATTGGATAAGTTAGAACTAATTGAAAAAGCAGTAAACAAACTTAACGAAGAGATGCCTAGACCAGTTAAAAAACCAATGGATAAAGATAGTGATGTTTATAAGAACAAAAGGAGTGTATATGTTAAGAAACTCAACAACAAAGATATCAAGTTTCCAAAGAAGGAGACATTAGAATATTATGAGATTAAGTTTGACGACCAAGAGAGAGCATATTAGATATTGTGTTTTATTATGAGAAAGGGAAAGCAACAAAATGAAGGGAACATACAATAATAACTATTCTTTGCAGTAGTTATTATTCTATGTCATGTCATTCATGGGACAGGTTATGGGCTTTAGGGGGATTTTTCTATTAGGGTCTTACCCCACACCTCATATTAGGATATTGGGTATTTTATGGTTGAGGGTAGGGTTTGTTTAGGTGCTTTGGGTTTTGGGTTATGTTTTGGATTGTTGTTTGGAGTTGGTGGGTTGCTTTGTTTCGGGATTGTTGTATTGATTGTTGGGAGGTGCTTTGTGTTTTCAGGGATTTAAGGGTTGAAATGTTAGGCGGGTTGAGAATTGAGGTAAAAGCGTAGGGGGGAGTATAGGGTATGAGGTGTGGGGTTAGCTGGCGCTTTCGGTTTTTGTGGGTCAGGATTGTGGTAAGGTGGTGGATGTAGGTAGTGCTTTTGGTTTGGGTTGTATCAGGAAGGTCGGTTTATTAGGTGGTTAGAGAATTGGGGTCAAAGCATAGGGGGGAGTATAGGATGTGAGGTGTGGGGTTAGCACCTGCTTGCTTATAGATCCCTCTAAAGAAGCCCTTATAGATCCCTTTCAAGCCCTAAACCTTTTATAGATCCCTTTAAGGAACCCATTAAGGATGCCTTTCAGGAACCCTCTAAGGAGGGCCCTTTGAGGACCCCCTCAAAGGAACCCCTGAAGAACCCCTAGAACCTAAACCCCTAAACCCCTAGACTCTAAACCCCTATATAAACCCTAAACCCCTCAACCCTAAACCCCTAAACCCCCAAACCCTAACCCAAGCGCTCAGGTCCACCTCACTACGCTGGACAGGAAGATCATGGGCCAAATGGTGCGGCGAAGGTTACGTCAGGAGAGGAGTTCTTGAGGTTTAAGGTTTAGGGTTCAGGGTTCCGGTTTAGGGTTAAGGGTTTAAGGTTTAGGGTTCAGGATTCCTTTAAAGGGATCTATAAGGGCTCCTCTAAGAGATCTAAAGGAGTTTGGGGGTTTAGCGGTTTAGGGTTCGGGGCTTCGGGTTCAGGGTTGAGGTTTTAGGGTTTAGGGTTTGTTCTTGAGACCCGTTTGTGCAACCCACTTGGTCCTGCGGCAACAAGTCACTACTCCTCGGTCTTGAGGTTGCTATCATTTTTATTGTTATTGTTGCAGGTGTTATTGTCACTATTATCAGTAGTGGCAATCTTATCACAATTCATGGCTATGTACCGTCCTACACAGAAGTTCCCCGAAGCTCCGCATCGGTTCCAAACAAATTACATACCTGATATACCTCCCCCTAAATAATATTGGCCTAGCGGTTACTACTACCTGAAACCCCTATATCCTACACCCCCAAGCCCTGGACCCTAAAACCTCGCCCTGTGCCTTAGGATTGTAGCTTCCCGTCTCCAGTACCAGAAACCACGAAAGGTGGTGTCGAGGTTTAGGGTTTACGCTTTTCATGGAACTCGATTCCTTAAAGCCTCTAAGGATCACCTCTAGCCAACTTAGATCATGCCCCCTACTACCATAGTATGGTCTAGGTTAGAAGCTGCCCCCACCCTGTAATAGTGGTATAATAGGAAAATAAGAGGGCCCTAATATAATCCTTATAGTATCCTTATGGTCACTATTGGGACTTAGTAAGTAAGGTTATAAGTCCCCTAATTGGGGTTATAAGTAATTACAAGTATAGCTACCTTATTTATAACCCTAGTTACTAAGTCCCATGAGCCTTTAAGTAGGCCCCAAAGGTCCCTATGTTACCTGAGAGTACGGTAACCATTGCAGGAGATGCAAGTGCTCGATGAGTGGCTTGACGACACGCACTTCTTCGACCACTTCCCCTACATGTCCTGCAAGGCTTCTTAGGGTTTTTGGGGCTTCAGGCTTCAGGCTTTGGCTTTAGGGGTTTAGGGTTTAGGTTTTAGGGTTTTTGGGGCTTTAGGCTTTAGGGTTTAGGGTTTAGGGTTTTTGGGGCTTTAGGCTTTAGGGTTTAGGGTTTAGGGGGCTTTAGGTTTTAGGGTTTAGGGTTTTTGGGGCTCCGGGTGCTCTGTCTGGGGATTTTTCGAAAGCCTGAGCCTCGAAGTCTCTTCGGGTTTCAGGTGTCCACGAACCCCTCAGAGGTCGCAATGGTAGCATGTCGGGTAGACTTGCGGGCCTTCTTCAGGCTTTAGGCTTAGGTATGAGGAAGATCAAGATCAGAGGCCAGGGCGGAGGAACCAACAGATCCCACCGGACCACGAATAAATAAAAGCATCTTGGAATCCTGGAGCGTAACGAAAGCTCGCTTGTGCAGGCCATGTACAAGAAACGGCCGCTTTTGGAAGAGCGTCGCAAGCTCATTCGGGACCCCTGTGCAGAAGGGCGCGTTTTCCCGAGCTTAGAGCGGTTCGGGGGTTTAAGATTGCAGGATTTTGGGAAGAGCTGTTCGGGACGGCACAGGGTTTATGGATGAAACGCCCACTAGCAACTTTGAAGGGCATGGCTTTCGGCTGTCACGTGGATTCTTGAAGACCGCCCTGACCCCGAAATGAAACCCTTATCCCGAAATCGGTCAAGGGTTTCAAAGCTTAGGGGTTTCGGGCTTTGTAAGTTGCGATCTCCCGAAGGAGCTGGAACTCAGCAACCTCGACGGCAAGTTCATTGCCAGTCAGGCAGCACGCGCAAATGCCGGTGAGGGGGAGGGGTTGTTGTTTACACGTCAATGTCAGCCGGTCAGAATTCATAGTGTGGGGTGTAGACGTAATTCGCCAAGGCTCTCATCTTATCGTTTACGGCCCTGGTGCTACCACGCGAAAAACCCCTTATGGAGTCCAGTGGAGCCGTTTGAGGAACCCTTTAAGAAACGGTGCTGTAACCTTTAAGGCCTCTAGATCAATATAGTTTGTCAACGTGGCTATAAACCACCTAAAACAGCCCTCATAAAGCTCTATGTGCAACTTACAACAGCCTGAATTTACAAAGCATTACCCAAAAAACCGCAAACCCTAAACCCTAACCCCCCCCCCTCCCCCCGAAACCACCAACAAAAATCCGCCAACGCCCACCACAGGTCGAAAGCTTCGATCCCACGTCGGTGCTGAACCTGGAGATGGTTGAGGCTTTCTCATGACCATCATGAGTGCTTGTAGGGCTTACAGGCTTTGTAGGGCTTAGTGGGCTTAGAGGGCTTACAGGGCTTACAGGGTTTATAGGGCTTGTAGGGCTTAGGGTTTAGGGTTAGGCCCAGACCTTCCAATATCCCTTAGTTAAGGAATACTCCTTTCATCGTCTCAGGGATCCCTAGTATAATTTAAGGTATATTTCTTAATTAAGGGATTTTGGAACGTCTGGGGGGTTTATAGGAGGGTTTAGGCTTCAGGGTTGCGGCTTTCCATCCTATGGTATTGTGAAGGTTTGACCAAGTCAGTGCTAATGTGAAGTGAAAATGTATGCGACAATTCCCTTATGGGGGGTATACTAAGTAACTATATTCCTTCGTACACCCCTCCTTTCCCTTCGCCAGGCCAAACCTTGAACCTGAAGTTTGTAACTTGGAAGGTGATGCCACGACGATTGCCCCTCATGATCGGCAAGAACAAAGGCCATTTCAGAGCCTGAGTTTAGGGTTTAGGGTTGTGAACCCTGAAGCTGCACACCCTAAACCGTAAGAGTGACGAAGTCATTTTCTTGAGTTTACGGGTGGAAGGGCGGCAGGGGGTGTCGGGCTCGGGTCTTTTTACTGTCAAATTGTGTTTAATTGTTTGGTGTTTTGGACTTTGAGTCGGTGAGCCCTTCAAAAAGCCCTTGAGTTCTCTGTTGGTTTAAGGTTTAAGGCTAAAAAAATCTTTAAGCTCTGTTCGAAGAACAAGAGGAGCAGTAGAGATAGGAAGAGTGACGGCTACATGCCAGCGGCAGTGGCAATTTTATCACCATAACGGCAAGACGGGCGATCATTCTAAGCCGTGTGCAGAAGGAGCCATGAACATAAGTTCCGGTGGCCACTTGACCATCTAAACGTCCAAACGCTTTTGCACCACACCCAAACAACAAGAACCCTGAACCAAACCCCCAACCCCGAAATCGGACTCCAAACCCACAGCCCAACAGTCTAAAGCCATATTCCTGGGGCCTGGAGCTCTCCTGGGAACTGGGGGCTAAAACTTAGAGTAGGTGCGTGACATACCTTTTACAGTTGCGAGCGCCGTAGGACCACTCATGGAGGTGAGGCTATGATGATGATGATGATGATGATGATGATGTTGATAATGATGATGATGATTGTGATGATGGTGATGTTGATGATGACAATGCGCAGGATGTGACGGCGATGATGAGATGTTGACGATGATGCTGCTGCTGGTGATGTTGATGATGGAGATGATGATGATGATGTGGTGATGATGATGATTTCGGCGGTGGTGCTCGTGGTGGTGAAGTGTCAGTGTCAAACCCGGGTCTTGCCAAGCCGCCGTGCTCCGGTCGACTCTCCTGGAAGCAACGTGATCAAGGCTGAGGTTCAACACTTGCCTCCGAGGGTTGTGCTGCTGGTGCTGCTGCTGATGCGCATCGTTGAAATGCTAAGCGTAATACCCTAAACCCTAAACCTTAAACCCTAAACCCTAAACCCTAAACCCTAAACCCTAAACCCTAATCCCTGAGCCTGACGCTCGAAACCCTAAGCTCTCAGCCTTGACAAACCTTAAATCCCTGAGAGGAGAAGCCCTCGACCCTAGACACTTGACGAGTCGCGGAGTCACTGCCGGCAGGTAGGCAGCATAAGCATTCACCAAAACAACCCCTGACGAAACAAAAGTGTGACACAAGACGTTGGGCCATGCTAATCCAAAACCCTCCACTCCCTAAGGCATGAACTTGACCTGGGCGTTTCCGAAAGTAGGGTACTCTAATATGGTACCCTAAATAGCCGGATCCGTATTATGAGGACCCCCAAAAGAAGAAACCCCCTAGTGTTGGGAAGCTCCCACTGGTCTCAGGCAACTTGACCCAGGGAAAGGCCGGGAATCAGTTGATGGCCCTCCGCTTCTGCAAAGGCTTCGCGGTGCAGGCTCCGGGGTTCGAAGTTCAACGTGCGCAGAGGGTTTAGGATTTAGGGGTTTAGGGTTTTAGGGATTTAGGGTTTAGGGCGTGCGCAAAGGGTTTAGGGTTCAGTGGCTATCTTACTCCTGAAGATAGTGCTTTGCATAGGGGCTTTCAGGCTCGAGTGTAGCTAGAGGGGTCTATAGCGGACCACGAACCCCCCAGATATTAGACTCTTCAGGGTGCTTACTGTGTCTGCTGGAACTTCATTATGGCAGTATGTAGTATTCTTGAGGAAATATTGCTGTATAGCCTTCCCCAAAACCCTAAATCCTTAAAAAGGAGATCAAAAAAATGCTAAACCCTAAACCCTAAACCGTTCTGTACCAGTACCAGCCATGCCATGGCAGATGTTGCTGGAGATCACACGGCCCCAGCGCATGAAGCGACTCCAATATAGGAGCCTTAACAATTACCTATACTATTGTTGGGGTTCCCTGAGTTCCCTGTTAACATCATAGCATAATGGTCCCCAAAACCTTATTCTAGTTAATTAAGGTCCCTATATTAATTGCAGAAGTGCTCTCCGGCTCTTTGTCGTGGCAAGAAAAAGGCCACTCTGGCCCCGGGGAGCACTGGCGATGTAGATTTCGAAAACCCCAGAACAGCCGCCCTCAACTAGTCTAGGGGCCCTGGTCATAGGAACAACACAAATCGCAGTAACAATAATTTTGCCAGCAACAATAACGCGAAACATGCTGACACAACAGAACGAGGAATACCACTGAAGAATGATAGTAATTCATAGTAAGCTATGAGTCAGTAAAACAACAGCGATGATCATGCGAATGCAGATGATAGTGCTACCACACCCTTGTTGTTGAGTTCCTTTTTCGGCGTTTGTTGTCTGATTGCAGCTCTACCGCCACTCTGAAGTGCTACCTCTGCATTTGGTTGCCCGAATGGGGGTTTGCGACAAGACGGGTTTAGGGTCTAGGCAACTCTGAAACAAACCTTAATACTATTAATACCCAAAGATACGAACCTTGCCAAGAGGACTCTATCTTGGGCGCTTCCGAAGATTCAGTGAGGGACCTGAATCCGAAGATAGAACCCAAGTCCCCGAAAAGACTCACGAAATACCCAATGCTGTTACCGGGCTCCTTAGAGGGACGCCAGTTGGTCCGACCCTCGTTGTCTCCTAGAGGTAAAATCCCAACTACGCACAGGAAGAGGGACAAGAACAGAAGCCCCTCATCGGCTTGCTTGTAGTCCAACCCCACAAAGTAGTAGGCTATGATCTCAGAACTGGATATAGGGTAACTATAAGTATAACCCTCTAAACCCCCAACTTTTTGTCTCTAACGCAGACCCCCCTCCCGCCCACACAGAAACCGTATCGAAACCCAAGTTAAGAACCCAGCAACAGCCCACAGACCAATGGATTTTTGCAGGCCATGGATGCCAACATGGGATCCTTCATTGGGGAAGCTTTCAAGGCCAGGGGGTGCAAGACAAAAACTTAGCATTTCGAGTTTAGAGTTTAGGTGCCTTCCTTGACAAACTGAAGAGGCCCTCTGAGGGTTCTACAAGTGTAGCACATGGAGTTTGAGAGCGTTCTGTCTAGAAGCCTTACAAGTAAGCAGGGCCTTGGTAAACCTAAGCATGGGCTCAGGGGACAGTGTTTAAGGGGTCAGGGTTTCAGGTTTCATGCTTTACGGATCTTTATAGGGTCTTACGCGGTTCAGGGGTTCAGCGTTATGTTCGGGTCCGTGTTCTGCTTTCGGGCTTACAGCTTCAGATATGTTGAATATCGCAAGTGAAGTTTATTTCTGCAGGCCATCCGCCACTCTATCTCTTTCAGCAGAGACCGTAACTCTCAATGGGGCGCGACACGTGAGTCATGAGCTTCCGGAAACCAGGTAACCACTCTCCGAGACTCGTAGAACACGAGTTTCGCAAACAAGAGCCCCCAATCCAGACCCCGAACAGGCCTGCAGGAGCCGCCCCAATCGACCGTCGCTTCAAAACCGTAACTTGCCCCCAAATCCACAGCGCTTGCACCCTGAAGCCACCATTCACTCGGACACCCTAAGCCCCTTCCTGTAACCGCAAGACACCAAGCGCTTTTCGCCTGCACACTCAAACTCTTAATAATAATAACAGTAATAATAGTGGTAGTAATAATAATAGTATTAATAGTAATCATAGCAAAAAGCCCATAAACCTCCGCCTCGGAATGCCCCTGGCCTTCTCACTTTGAAGCATTGTCAGGGTTCTTCAAACACGGACCTTCGCTCCCAAAGTAAATCCGCCGACTTAGAGCGCCAAAACCCGCCGTAGCCCCAATCCCGAAATCCTTTTACCCTAAACCCTTTAAGCCCCAAAGCTTTTACTCCGGTTAAAGCCTCGGTCCCTTGCAAGGCCCTGATTACACCCATTTGCAAGCCCCATAACATGAAAACACCCTTCCAAATCCTTCTTAATTCCTTATAAAGGCTCAATGAAACCGTGCAAAACACAAGACTGTTTCGTCCCTATACAGCTCGAGGTGCCCATGGTCTTAAAGCGTTTCCAACCTCGGTTCTACAACCGGGATCGTGTGACGGCAAGGCTGGGTCTCCTCCGCATGGTATAATCCTTAATTAAAGGGTACTGGATTCCCTTAAACCCTATAGATCCCTTAAAGGAGCCCTATAGATCCCTTGAAGGAACCCTAGGTATTCTTAATGTATGTATGCATTGCATGTGGGTGGGTGGTTGTCAAGATTAGGTTCCCTTTTTGGGGGTCCCTATTATAATACGGCACCTAATATTTAGGGGACCCAAAAATGGACAATGATTTTGACAACCACCCATGTATGCATGTATGTATGTATGTCAACGACACATGGTTGTATAGCTACATGTATGTATATGTCTGTACACATATGTACATATGCTTATACATCTTTTATATTGCATACATGTATCTTCAGAAGCATTACAAACTGTGCATATTTGAGGGTTGGGGCTTCAGCCTGCATGTGCATATCTGTGTATATATATATATGTATATGTATACTTATATGTGTATATATTCACACACATAAACACATATACCTGCGTACATATATATATATATGTACATGTACATGTTTATGTATATGTATATGTATATGTACATGTATATGTATATGCGTAGGCACAGATAAAGATGTAGACATATATGGATGTATGTAGATGCATACCCCACACAGGCCGCTGAATAAACGAGAACTACTGACTACCTACCATCGTAATTCTGACAGAGTCGACCCAAAACTGTATTCAGATGATTAAAACCCCTCCTCTGACCTTGATCTTTGTGTATGCACGAAATAGTTGCACTCATGATTCTCTCAGGCCACTATTGCGAGCTTAGGGGAATGGTAGCTTAACGGTTTTAGGGTTCATCCACATATATACTTCGCAAATGGTTTTCTCGTTGCCTGTCATAGAATATACATCAACCCTGGTACCAACACTTACTAAGTCTGCAACACCGACCGCCTCTGTGATTGTGCCTTTCACAGCTCTGACAGCTCTGATGTTTCCAAGAGGGCCTTGTAGCTTAGAGTTAGCTTGTCCAACGATGGTTGTTCAGACATCATTCAGATTGAGACATGTGGTAGCAGCATCACGGAGAATAACGCCCAGCTGGCCTGGAACATATGGAGTAGGAGGAGCAAGAGTGTGCGCGACAGTACCACTACATGGCTACTCTACTATAATTCTTAACATCTGCCGTATGGCTTGATTTCACCGGCTCAGGGTAGTGTAGAACCGACAGCCGTACATGGACTACCGCAGGAAGTCAGAAGTCCTCAAGCAAGGTTGCGCATACGGGAGTCGGCTCACCCAGAGACTCCAAAATCCCTTAATTAAGGAATATTCCTTAAATCATATTAAGGATCCTACTATCATTTAAGGTATATTCCTTAATTAAGGGGTATTGGAGTCTCTGAGCATCCAGCTGTGGCCATATCTACTGCGCAGCAATCCTGCGTTGCAAGTCACCCCTAACACAACAGCCTCGCGCTGCGTGTTGGGCCTTAGGGCAATTTACGGTGTGGGTTCGACTCTGTATAAACCCGACACATTCCCTTAAACCTTGAACCCTAAGACCGAAAATCTTGGCATCAAAAAACCCCCGAAACCCCATTGCCATACAGACCCTACGCCCGGAGAGCCTAGATAGCCTCCTTGTTGTGAATACTTCTAAAGCCATACATGTGTATATGTATCTAGATGTATATGTATCTAGATGTATATGATATATGTATATGTATATGTATATGTATATGTATATGCATACGTATACGTATACGTATACGTATACATATAGGTATATGTATATGTATATGTATATGTATATGTATATGTATACACACGTATACGCTTATTTATGTACGTATGTATGTCTGTCTGTATGTATGTATATATGCAACCTAAACAGACGGATCCGCTTTCTGAAAAGCTTCAAATCCGAAGATACAGCTCTGAATGGTAAGACCCTTAGTGTGTAGGTCGACAAAGACGAAGGCGATCCTCGAATGAATCACGCTACAGAGCGCCGGGGTCGAGTGAAGCGACGGTTTGTCCCAGTAGAGGGATTAGATTCCAAACAAGAAACGAGGAAGTAAATGGAGCTGGGGTTTAGGGCGGGATTAGTTTCTGAAGTAGGAATTAAATGGAATAGGTGGCGCAAGCCTCCCCGACCACAGCCAGGCTGATCGGCTTCAGAGAGCACATCTTCACCGTTGCGCATGGCATTTGTGGAGCCTGGAGCTCAGCTCAGCGAAAGGTTCTCCAAGCCCCATGTGCGAAACCACAAACTTGAGCACTAACCGCTAAACCTCTGCGAAGCCTTACACCCCCCTTACTGGCTTCAGATAGATGCCTAGCAGAATCAGAAGATTGGGACACAAGAGGTATGGACAACTTGTTGTGAAGTACTTAGACACTCTGGAACCGCTGAAATTCCATGACACACGCACACACCGCAGTTTCGTAGATGTAATGGAATCTAGGACAAAAACTAGTCCGTATATGCCTTGAATACCAGACCCTGTTCTAATTATCTAGGTATCTCATGCGTTCGCAAAGCGGAAGGACATCAACGCCGTCGCAGAGTGGTGCTTCGGAACCTCCATCCAGCGTGCCGTCAACTCGGAAAGGGCTTTTTGGGATGACTGAGAAGTACTTAGAGGATCATGGGACTTAGTAAGTAAGGTTATAATGTCCCCTAATTGGGGTTATACGTAATTATAAGTATAGTTACCTTATTTATAACCCTAGTTACTAAGTCCCATGAGCCTTTAATTTAAGTACCCCCTACAGAACCCTGATAGAACCCGTACAAGATGCCATGATATGATGGCATGATAGTACCGGTTATCAGTTGTCGCGAGACCAAAGCCCTGTTCTGTCCATGAAGAGGAAGGCACGTTATGCAGTTCATGTCAGTGTGACTTGTTCACTATAGCTTTAGGAGCCTTTAACGCCCTTAATCTCCACCCTGCATCCAGCATTTAGATCGCTCTTCTTCTCCTTGTCATCAGCACTGTGGTGCTTAACACTAGTGCAACGTTTCTGGTAGCATGCGATGTTTTTGGGAATGTAGTCATGAACACTCTACTTTACGGCGTGCTTCCACATGAGGTCGCAGCAGCGGTTGCTTGTGTTGCGTCCCTTGCCAAGGAATCGCTGTATGAGCCTTAGAAGCCCATGGACCTTCTGAGCTACAGGTTATGACGATTAGGGTTTACTTTAGACATAACAGAGCTACCCATGATAATGATAACCAGAGTTGGCTTACAGAAGCCAACTTGTTGCTTGCCAGGGTACTTTGGACTATAGTCGCCCTACTTATAGCGACCCATAAACTCTAAACCCCCAAACCACTACCCTAAACATTTGAAAGAACAAGCCTAAACCCCCAAGCCCCTTCCCCCTAAACCCCTAAATCCCAAAAGCCCTGAACCCCGAAAGACCGAAAGCCCTGAAGCCCTAAACGCTTGAATGGAGTTGGGACCTGCGGCTACACAGGTCCAGACATGGCTGGGTGTGCGAATGCACTACGGCCATCCTGACTTTGTAGCCAGGGCCCTAGGGAGTTTCCGAAACTGGGGATCCTAATATAGAACCCTCCAAAATACAGTACCCCTAATTTTCGGAAACTTTCGAATTAGGGTTCAGGGTTTAGGGCCAGGGCCCTTCCCAAACACTCGAAGTAGGTAGAAATGGCCCAATACCTATAAATGGCCGTTATTCTAGAGACTGTGGATGTCCAGGCTCAGGAATCTTGAGGCTCGGGTTTCGGGTTGGGGGTTCAGGACTTAGGGCATAGCATCAGGGGGACTTGGCATGGAGGCAGCATGTCCTGCCACGGTGGGACGACTTGTGAGTTGGAATGCGTCATCTATCCGCTATACCACCTTTTAGACCCTGCTCGGTCAAGGGTTCGTTTCTATGTAGCGGGTGCTTTAGCGGTTTGGAGTTTTACGGCTTTTGGGTATGTAGGGTTGTGCCTTTTGGCTCTCTCTCTCTCTCTCTCTCTCTCTCTCTCTCTCCCCTAGTCCCAAGGCCTAAAGGCCTCAAGGGCCTAATCTCCGCTTCCCCAAAAATCCTCAACAACCCAGTCCCAAAAGACCCCAAGCTTTAGGCCCTGAACCCGGCAACTGGTTGTCAAGGGGGCCGTGATGGAATATGATGCAGTAGGCTGAATAAGTTAGCACTGCAACTACTATGCCTGTGGGTTCCGTTATACCACAACGCACCCCAAACCCCCATTCTAGTTATTAAGTCCCCTATATTAACCTCGGTGATGTTATCCAGGCTCGATTCTTGGAGAAAGCCTCACAGAAGCCTCGTAATGCATACACCATGGTATATTACGCTGTACTCTGATATATAGTGCAGTATATCGTAGTATATTACTGCATATTACAGAAACTTGCTGTAGGTCAGATCTCGGAGTGACAGGCATCGGGACCGAAAAGGCTGTTAGGAGCCTATTTTGGTAATGCAACTATCCAAAGCGTTAAATCTTTTTGGCAGGCATGCCGCAACCTTAAATCCTGAGCCCTGAACTCTGAACCCTATAACGCTAAACCAAAGCTTGCGAGTGCCGAAGCATCGGAGGATTTGTACTGGGCCCGCAACCGCGGCTCCATGAGCGTTGGCCTCATCATCTCTTCTATGCAGGGTTATTAGGGTTTACGAGGCCTGAATAATTACCTGCACTATTTTGGGGGTTCCTTGTTACAATTTTAGTAGAATATACCCCAAAACCCTATTCTAACTAATGGGGCGCCTATAATAAATTTGGGTTCAGGGTTTTAGGGGGGACCCTGGACCCTGAACCCGTAGATCCTCATCGCTACCAGTAGTGTGTAAGACATTGAGGCTCGTGTTTAGGGCTTCGGGCTTACGTAGTTGTGAAGAATCAGTTCTCCGAAGCGCTATCTCTAGTCTGATGTGTGTCCAGGAATCATTCACACTCACCGTTTCGAACTTGCACTTGGCTGGCAAGTCCGACACTTCGAACACCAACCACCCTGGGACTTTTACCTAGGGTGCCTTATTCAAGTTAGACAGTTATCCAAGGGTAAATGGAGGGACCCTTAATAAGGACCCCTAGGTATATACCCTTAATATAGCTATTCTATACCCATTGTATAGCCCATTATAGGGTAGGGGTCCCCCTTAAGGGCCCCTCCTTTTCCCCTTTGAGAGACCCGAACCCCTACTCTGATTATGAGCAGCCTTGAACACCCGTCGAGGCAAAGCCACCCCGCACATCAACCTGTCGGAAGACATCTACCTGGGCTTCAATGCCTCGGGCTCGGATTTTTGGGTGTAGGGTTTAGGGTCAGGGTTCAGGGTTCAGGCATCTACATTAAGCTGCTTTTGGTCTTTAGGATCCCGCACTTTGTATTGTGGGATCCTTATTATGATCCCTTTCTAAGGGACGGTGGTTTACGTATCAGCGGTCTGCATGTCGGTTTAGGTAAACCCTGGTTTCGGGCTCAGGGCGACTATAGGGGAACCGTAAGGACTTAGGATTTTTTTGTGGGGTTCACAGCTTTGCTCAACCAGAAATCTCGGCCGCCCAGCCCCACAGAGCCTTAAACTCAAGCCGCAAAACCTAAACCCTACACTCTTCACCGTCCTCACTGTCCTACACCCCAGCTCAAACCTACAACGAATAAGCCTGAATGCACATATTCGAACCCTGAGCCTGGACCTGTGGGCCCGCTCCGAACAGAGTGGCAGAAAGGCCATCATGGGGCTCCTGTGTAATAGAGCCGCCAAATTTGTGGGGTCCCGAATACAACTACAGTGTCAGATGCCACCTCTCCGCCGACCAACACAAGTCCTACTCTAGTTCTTAAGGCCCCTATATTGGAGATTGCAGTGTAGTCTGCGCCCTCCCTCAAAACAAAGGTCTTGTACTTCCTATGGTTATTGTGAGTACTATGGTGATGATGATGTTGATGAAGGTGAAGATGATGGTGCTGCTGGCTGATGATGATGATGATGATTAGTATTGTTGTTATTGTCGTTGTTCTTATTCTTAATTAACGCCCCTGTGTCAGGTCAAGAACCGCGGCGAGAAGTCAGACCACTTCGACTTTCTGGAGTGGGAGAAGGGCAGAGAGGTAGGGAGCAGTGGGGAGCATCGAGTTTAGGGCTTTGGGGTTTGGGGGTTTAGGGTTTGAGGGTTTAGGGATTTGGGGCTTGAGGTTTAGGGTGAGGGCTTAGGATTTGCGGGGTTTAGGGTTTTAGTGTCCTACGGCTTAAGGGCTTATGGTTTAGATGGCAAGACAACCGAAACTGTGGGACCAGACCTAGCATGCTGTGGTTCAGGTTGTTTTGCCATCTAAACCCTAAACCGTTAAACTTTGAGCACAAAAATAGGCCCCTCAGCCCTACGTCTTAAACCTGAACCAGAAGCCCAAACTCCTCAAGCCTAAATACTAATCCCTGAAACCTAAACCCTAAACCCCTAAACCCTCAACTATGATCCATTTAAACCCCTAAACCGAGAACCCCCAACCCTAAACAATACGCCCTGAACCCTCAACCCTCGTCCTTAGCTTGGGGCTTTTGCAAGATCCTCGAGCTCCCACAAGAAGCGGCCCGAGGGATTCTTTCAAGACTCAGCCACAGCATGAGACCTCGCTTCTCTTGGTCTGTTGAGGCTACTCGTGGCTCGAGTTGGCCAAGTTTGTATACATAATATTCGTTCTCTATGCCGGGACTATATTATGTATCATACTCGTATATCTTGACATATTGTGGTGGCTTTGAGTAAGGTGTCTACAGCTGCGAGTAACTAGCTATGTTCATATGACCCCCCATGTACATCAAATGTGATGTGCAGGTGTCCTTCAATGCAGCCAGCACTTTCTTGTACAAGATCTCTGGCGGAAACATCGGCGTGTGGCGCTCGAAGGCCCATCACAACTGATAGCTGCGGGCTAGCAGCTTGCAGGGATGAAGAGCGTTAGGGGAACATCTCCTAGTACTACCCCCACTCCCACTACTACGACTACTGCTACGGCTACGATTACAACTCTTGCTACCATTACTGCTACCACTACCACGGCTCTACTACTACCACCACCGCCATTACTGCTATTCCTGCTACCACTTCCGCTACTTGTGCTACTTCTGCTGCTTCTGCCACTTTTGCTCCTTCTGCTACTAGTGCCGCCAGCTAGCTAATGCTACTTCTTCTGCCACTGCACTGCTCCTGCTCCTACCTTTATAGACCCCTTTATAGTAACCCTTATAGACCCCTTTGTAGTAACCCTTATCGACCCCTTTAAAGAAACCCAACCCTGAGGCAGCCACTGCCACTGCTCCTTGCACCTCCTCCTCGCACTCCAACTCCCACAACGCCTGCTCCTAGTCTTCCTACCACTGCTACCACTACCACAACAACTACTACTACTACCTACTGCTACTATCACTACTACTACGACTACTACTACTGCTACCACTACGACTGCTACTACGACGACGACGACGACGACTACTACTACTACTACTACTACTACTCCTATTACTATTACTACTACTACGACTACTACTACGACTACTACTACTACTACTAGTACTACTGCCAGTGCTACCCTTTGAATCTGCTACTGGCAACTTGCAACAGCTGCTCACCGACCGACCAGCCCAACACCCCAAAAAAGCTGCAAAGCTCCGCCAGGACATCACGGAGAGTGCCATGGTACTGCCTACAGCCACTGCCTCGGTCATGTTGACATAGGGGTCTTGAAGGATAGGGTTTCCTTTAGGGACAGGGGTTCTATAAGGGATCTATATACAGGCCGTAATAACTACCTATACCATTTCGCTTGCTCCTTGTTCCAGTTGTAGTATAATATACCCCAAAACCCTATTTTAGTTATAAAAGCCCTGCATGATGTATGTTGAACAGACGCACATGTGTGAGACCATGCAGGCATGTCCAAGTTTACGCCGTGAGGTTTATTCGGGTTCGTGTTTGGGCTTTCGGGCTTCTACTCAAACTATTATGTTTGTATGTTGTATGAGAAGCCCACTAGGATCAGAGTGCTGTAAACTTGCAGCAGAGTGTTGAGAACCCGCCCCGTCCGTCTGGGTCCTTTGCGTTCGTGAGATCGACCTCTTCTCCTTCTACTTCGCCACCGTGGGCTACTTCGTGTCTCTCACGATCATTGCCCATGCCTCGGATCCACCAGTAGCCCTTGCCTGCGACTTCCAGCCCAAAGACTCAACCTCATGCTTGCACAGCCGATGGCTTGACAATCGTTTTCTGAGGTCTTCTGAGGGTGTATAAAGTGTAAACAATTGTAGGGGCTTTCTGGAAGTGTAGGTGTATGGCTTACCCAGGAGTTCGAAACTGTCCACCAAGCCTCAGACAGAACATGCGAGCTGCTTGACTTCGGCAGTTGTTCTCGATGGTTACTGTATTCGGAACTTTGCGCTCTTTCAAAAAAGCTGGGGTGCGAGTGTAAGCCAGCCGGCAAGTTTGCGGCGAGCCATTTTGGGCTCATATCCCATTACGTGCATGCTCCGACACATGGGGCATTGGGCCCGTAGTGGACGATTTTTGGGCTGTGGGTGGTGCTGGTGGTCTCCTCCTGGTTTTCCGGTGGATCTTCAAGCCCTCGCCTGCGACCCGATTCAGCCCGACCGGAAGTTTAGGAAAAAAGCAAAACCTTGCACCCGCCAAAGCAAAAACACCCTGGACCGCTGAATCCCTGAAGCCCTGAAGCTTGAGCAATATTATAGGAGTTCTTAACTGCCTCTCAGGGAACAACCCTAAACCCTAAACCCTTGCACTACCTCCCCACCCCCCCCTCCCCCCCCCCCCCCCCTCAAATTAAAAAGAAAGGAACACAATAAGTCTAAACTTACAGGACATGACGATGTACTTCTACGTCGGCTTTCATCTGCTGCTGACGATGGCCTCCGTGTCCCTCCATGAGCAGGGGATCCCGAAGACTTGGTGAGGTTTAGGGGTTTTGGGGTTTCGGGCTTAGCGTTTGGGATTTGGGCCATTGGGGTTTACGGCCATATCTTAAGCACCATACCTTGATTTATTGAGGAATGCGCGGTGTACTAGGATTTACTGATTTAACGAAAATTCAATTCCTTAGTTAAGGGCGTTTTGGAATCCCAGGGTTGCTTCGGGCTTGCGGATTTATCGGGCTTCGTTGGGGTTGCTATAGCTTGTTTCGGCGTTTCGGCTCGATCATACTACAGGTTTGGGGATGTAGGTATTGTTCTCGTAGGCTTTGTGCGGCTTCTGCAGAATGATTGATTGAATGGTTCTTCTGTCCGTAGTTTCTTCGCAGTTATGAAAGGCTTGCATAGACCATGACTATGTCACTCGCTCCGTTGTGTGCTTCAATGTGCAGGTTGGCGCTGGTTTTTCCTGTTGGGCAGCACCTTTGGCAGCCGAGCATGGCTGACCAGCACGTTTGATTGACGATATTTCGTTTTAAATACAGCCGTGCATTTAATTCAGCATATCCCTATGTCATCCACCGCAGCAAAGGTTGGGTCTCTCGTATATCTTGACATCGTGGCGCAGCATCGGCTTGCCTTCTTGCACATGAACCTAAACCCCAAGCCCTTAAACCCTCAACCCCCTGAATGCCGGGCGCTGGATCCGGAATCAGAAGTAAGCTTATAGCGCAAGCAAATCCAAACCCGAGGCAAAGCAAGAATCCCAAAGCCCACACTAGTGGCTAACGCTAGCTCACACCCAACACTACATACTCCGCATGCTTGCACACCTGCTTGCACATGCCCGCAGAACTTCTGTCAGTTCTACCCTCTTTCTAGGTGTGCATGTGCAACGTGCAGTTGCAAGCACAGCATGGATCTCTGCGCCGATTTCGAGCGCGATGGCTTTGTCCTGGTCCGCGACGTCGTTGACCGAGGATTGTTGGAGGCGAATCGGCCGTTCGATGATGGGTAAGTTGGGTGGAATGATGCTTTGGGGTTTAAGGTTCATACACCGAGCTTTAAACCTTGAGGCGCATAATTAGCCTTTCCAACCCCAACCTCGCACTGCTGGAGCCCCAGCCTGAGAATCTGGCTGGCGTTTTGGGAGTTCGGAAGGTGCAGGACAACAAGCTGTCGACGGGGTCCCTCAACCCCAAACTGCCAGTAGGGAGGAGGAGGAGGAGCCAAGACGACGACACCTTGGCTTCTTGGATACCTTCAGCATGAGGGGTGTGGGGCTTTGGGGTCATACTGGGTAGGATCTGTGCTTACGGAACTTTGCATCTGGCCGATGTCACAGGATATGAACGCAACAGGCCCAAAACGCTCGCTCCTCCACGCCAAGCCACTCACACCCCAAACTCCTCAACCCTACTAAATCCCACTATACGCTGGGAAGCGCGCATATCCTCTACAGCCGGCGGCTTCTTTCCGAAAAAGCCCACACCCTAAGGGTCCAAGTGCCCAAATAGTAGGGTTTCAAGGTCCAAAAGCCATTCAGAGTATGGATTTTGAGACCTAAAGCCTAAAACCCTAATATTTGGGTACTTGGACCCTCTGGGACAGGCTTTGAAGGAGGAGCTCCACCAGCTGACCCTTCATCTCGCCAAAGTGCGAGGTGCGCCCTCAGGATGCGGCCTCCCGCCCTTTGCAGGGTTTGCAAGGTGTTTCGTGGCTTTATATCGGCTTTTTTCGGGTCCATAAGGGGTTTCTATAGAGCTTCCTGACTCCTCATTCCCAAGCTGCAGCTTCGTGCGTTGAATCAACAAACTGCTTCTGACTCCTATCCCCACTCGCTGTATACCTAGACTCCCCAACTACCCTCTACTATACCACAAATACCCCATATGGCCTCTGGGTCCTGGTACTTCCCAAGTAGCATCAGCTACAGCGGATGCTGTAGCAGGCTTAGACGCAGCTGACTGCGGCTTCGAGACAGCTGTGGCAACTATGGAGGCGCTGGGCCCAGTTTCCCAAAATCGGTAATGTACCTAATAGTCTCCATTGTAGTTCCTGTTTTGGGTTACCTTATAGGATCCTTAATATATATATATATATATATATATATCTGGTTAAACGAAAAAAGGAACTCCAATGGAGACTGTAGGCAGGGCCTTAATAATTAGAATAGGGTTTTCTACTATTTGCTTAAGAACCCACCAAAACATGAAAATAACAATCCCTATATTACCCCCATAAGGAATAGATTTTTTATTTTTTGGGGGCTCTTAAGCAAATAGTAGTTTTGGGGGGTGGATCGGACATGAAGTCTGTTCGGGCAAGCGAAACTAGAGGGCCTGTGCCTCACCAGGAATTGTTAACCCGTGTCCGTGTTGGAGTTCAGCTTTTGGAAATAATATCCGTATTTTGGGGTATATTATACTATAATCATAATAAGGAACCCCTTATACTATAAGCATAATAAGGAACCCCCTCAATAGCATGGGTAAGCGTCTAGGCCCCCTTGTAGTACTTTCTTGGGAGTCGCGCCATCTTATGGCCCTCAAACCCCAAAGCCCCGAAACCGTACAAACCTACAGGCTAGTTAGGGCCTATGGGGTTTGGGGTTTAGGGGTTTAGGTGTCTAGGTGTTTGGGGTTTAGGGTTTAGGGCTTGGGCATACATCTCAAGGAGTCTCACTTGCTTTAATTAAGGGGTTTTCGGAGTCGCACAATCGTATGGGCGCCTAAACCCAAAACCCCTTTAAACCCTAAACCCCCGTAAACCCTTAGATCACCCCCCCCCTCTCATCAGGCGGAGAAAGTTGCACTCAGCTGATAAAACCTGCCAGAACCCGAAACCCTAAACCCTGCATATTCCCCTAGGACCCAGAGTAGGCCCTTATTCCCTTTTTTAGGGTTCAGGTTCCCTTATAAACACCTTTAAACCAAAAAGGGCACCCTTTTTATTCCTAGGTTTCTCTTGGGTCTAGTCCCTGAACCCTAAACCCCTGAATCATGAAGCCTTTGCTCCTCTCCACCCCTGTTTGTCAAGAGCACAGGGGCTTTCTCAGACGAAGAGTATGCTTCTCGTGGGGTTTTGTTTGTATAAGGTTCTGATACTGCTTGTATAAGATTCTACCGGAGTGCTGTCGGTTTGTAGCAGTTGTTTTTGGAGTTGTTTGATCGTTGTTTTTGGAAGGGGGGTTTAGGATTTATCGGGTTGCGGGTTCTCATTAGCTGTTTAACTAACCTAGGATGCCCAGTACTACCCTTATTCCCTTTTTGTAGTCCTAGGTTCCTTATAAAGTTACCCAATACCAAAAAGAGAGGCCTTTTTATTCTTAGGTTACTGGGTATCCTAGTAACACTTCGCCAGGCCTTAGATCCGGGCTTTGGTGCAGCGCTGCACCAGGCGCGCGGTCTCGAATTCGGGATTTGGGATTGAGAGGCGTGCAGCGGTTTATAGGGAACTCCAGAAAGTTGGAATATGGATTAATGGTAGGATCCCCTATAATTTACCTTAAAGGGGTTACGATAATGATGTTCCAACTTTCTGGCTTCTACTGTATAGGGTTGTATATAAGGGGCTCTAGATGATATGGGTTTACAAATTGTTTTACATGCAGGGGATTGGTAAGGGTTCTAGAAAGGATTCATCAGAGTTCGAAGGCCGGGTTTTGAGGGTTTGGCGTTTGGGGTTATGGGGTTCAGGGTGTCTGGGATTTTGGGAGGTTTATACGGGTTACGGGTCTGCAACCGTTACATGAGGGTTTGCAGTTTGGAGTTCAAGTGGGCTTGACATTGGCATGTAGCTTAGGGTCGGGGTTCAGGGTGCAGGGATTCGGCTTTTGGGGGTTGGGTCTCCGGGCTTGTCTGATGTGGGGCTGGCACTTCATCACGGTTTGTGTTGGCTTTGAAGTTGTGGGATAGCGATGCAAGGTGCTGGGCACGGGTCCATTGCTTACCTGTGGTTCTCGGCAAATCTGGCTACTCACTTCGAGCTTAGCCTCCATCTGCAAGTGGCGACCTGTTCTTTGTTGGGGCACTTGTTGTTATAAGCCCCTACTTACGACAACAACGGGTCTGTAGCTGCTGTGCAACAGATGACCTTACATCAAGCTGCTGCCCGCATCTAAACACCTAAACCCTAAATCGAAAGACAAGACGACCAAGCGCTGCGTTTGTCTAACTCTAAACCTGTTTGCTTGGAACCGGCAAGCCGTGTAGCTGCCCTTCCTGGACCATCCAGAACAGGGTTAGGGGCCATCACTTGAAACCCTCACCCAACACCCCCGAAACCTTACACCCTCAACCCTAAACGCATCGCTCGATCCTCGAGACCCAATGCATGGATTAAGCCTGACTTTGCTTCGAAGCAAAGGCCATGGCCCTTACACCCGCGATTGCAGCGCTTTGGCGGAGCCCAGCGTTACTGGGAGCTGTACACAAACTTAGAGGCGCGTTGGTCTTGACGCACCGTTGTTGGATATTGGAGTCTCCCGGCTATACTCAGTAATACATATATATATATATATATATACATATATATATATATATAAGTATATAATATTGTACTTATGCAAGAAAAAACGTATCAGTAATTTTTTAATGTCTACCTATCTATCTATCTACCTAGGTATGTATCTATCCATATGTCTACGGAGTCATGATGGGGCTTTCGGGCAGGGGACGGCATGGTCTTAGCGTTCTGGGCCTAGGCCTAGGCGCATCTTTCACATCAGCAAAGGTCCTAACCCTGTACGTCAACCGTCTCGTTAAACCCGTCGGTTTAGTGAGTGGCGTAACGTGCTCGCTTTACCATTTAGGCTCTTGACCTACTTCTGCTCTAAATGCTAGTAGGTGAAAAAAAATAAGCTGGTTACAGGATTTTAATCCATTGATGCTGGTTTTTGAGGGGCTTTCCATGCACCTATAGATTGATTACATTGGTTGCAAAGTTGGGCTCCTGATGGCCATTCCCAGATTTGCTAGGTTCATCTTTCAGATATGTCTCATCGATGATTTGAGTCGA